TAAAAAGAATTGTTTTAAGATTCAGACTCATTTATTTATTTACTTGAAGTGTTATGAAGTATATACAGCTGAAGCCGTTGCAAGGGTGTAAAAGAGAGTATGTACTTTACATTATATCTCCAGCAAGAATAATAAAACTGAATCAGCAGTTTAACTTTCTGAATGTGTAATGACTGATGTTAAAAGAGCTCCCTTCTACAGATTGTTTTGTTATAAATAAATCAAGCAGATAATATTGTGGTTACGCTCCCTTGGAAGCTAATTGAATATACTTCAAACGTAAGAATATGAAGGATAGTGGAACATTCGACCGATCCACAGGAGCGTTGTCAGCTGTAAAAGTCTTCATTTCAATATAACAAGCCCCTTATCTGAGAAAATATACTTTTAAAAAAGCCGGTGCTAATAGCAAGTTTTCTAACAAAGCCGTGTCTTCTGCTATCAATTTATTTCTCCCTCTTTTTTATGATGAAAACTAAAGTGCAACATTTCCCCCAAATAGTTGAGATTAAAATAAGAATTTCCATGTTTTCCTCACATTTCAGTGTTTTATTATATATTGTCAGTCTTACTATACCGTTTGGGGACTCTCATCTTACCGACGATACGTCAATAAACATTCACAAGCGAGAAGGCGAGAATATAATCTTGTTAAAAATATCACTTTGTATAGAAGAGGTATGTTAAACCCATTGTCTGTGACATATTTTATATTGAAAATTTATCAGTAGTATTAAAAGTATTTGAATATATTTTAAAGTTACACTGCATTATGGAAACATAATTATTATGTATAAATAAATCTGACGACAACCAGGAATTTCATAATTTTGATTTTTATAATTGCTAAGCTCAGATATTAGTGAAATTTCTGGATGAATTCTTCTTTTTTTTTGTATCCGCAGATTTAACCATTTATACTTGAAATACATTGTCCACTAAATATTATAGCAATTTTTCATTGATAAAACATGTAAAAGAAACATTGTAGAAATCCGGTACGTTTTATAAAAGATCTACATAATATTTGTAAAAGGTATTGTAAACTGGTAGATGATGATTGGATACTATTACAAGCCAAACCTTTACACTTTCCTGAGAAAATGATAAACGCCTAGCACTTAATGACATTTCTAGATATAGTAAAAATACCAACGCGTTAAATTGGAGATGCTATAAATTTCTACATTATATTTATCTTTTTCATGTTAAACGGTTGCTTATTTGACAAAAATGCATTAAACTGCCTGTTAAATCACAAAGGAGTTTAACATTTTGGTTTGTAGAAAGTACATCGTTTACGGCAAAGCATTCAAAGAATAATAGACAGTTAAAAGTTATCTTGTATCTGGAGAAACATTTTAGCAAAGATATAATTTACCTGCTATTCATTTGTTTTGATAAATGACTACAACAACAATAAGTTTGATTGATGACAACAAAGAACCATTTGCCACCATTTGATAATTTTGATACGTTCTAAGATATATTAAAAGCTAACCAAAAATTTGTCTTACAGTAATAATTCCAACTCGTTAAGTTTGAGTTGCCATAAAATTCTACATTGTATTTATCATTGTCATTTTAAACGGTTACTAGTTTGACAAAAAAAACACATAAAAATGCCTGTAAAATCACAAGGGATTTTAACAGTTTTGCGTGTGGAAAGGTGATCGCGTTTACATCAACCCATTTGTCCAACCTTGAAGAATAAAAGACAGTTAAAAGTTATATTTTATCTGAATAAACGATTAAGTAAATATAGTTTTACCCGGCATTCAATTGTTTCAATGAATGACTACAACTACAATCAGTTTAATAAATGACAACCAATAATCGTTTATATAATCGCTCGTCATGCAGCAATAATTCAAACTCGTTAAGTTTGAGATACTACAATTTTCTGCTTTGTTTCTATCATCTTCATTTTAAACGGTTACTAATTTGACAAAAACACATTAAATTGCCTGTAAAATCACAAGGGATTTTAACATTGTGTTGTGTAGAAAGTAGATTTTGTCCAAGAATAATAAACATGAAAACACTATATTTTATCTGTGTTTATGTTACACTCGTCATGCAGCAATAATTCCGTCTCGTTAAGTTTGAGATGCTATACTTTTCTACATTATATTTATCATTGTCATTTTAAACGGTTACTAATTTAACAAAAATGCATTTAACTGCCTAAAAAATCATAATTGATTTTAACCGTTTGGTGTGTGGAAAGTAGATTTCGTTTTTGCAACGCATTTGTCCAAATATAATAGATCTTTTTTCTGGATAAACATTTTAGTAAAGTTAAATTTACCCGGTATTCATTCGTTTTAATAAATGACAATTAGTTCAATCAGTTTGATTGATGATAACAAATAACCATTTACCACCATTTGATATTTTTGATACAAGCAAAATAACTTTAACTCCACAAGGGGATGTTCTTCTCACTGCAGTGTTGTGTTGAAACAAATGTGAAACTGAAACACAATTTAGCAAATAAGCTGTCATTTAACTTGTATTCACAAACTAGGGTAAGCAATATTGCATGCCTAAATGGCTGAATAAAAAACGATGATTAGCATTTATACTTATATTCGAAAATTCCTCTACTTTGTCATTGTCTCTTTTAACTGACTTTTCACTAATTAAACAATACTCATTCTGTCTTTTTGTTAAACAGTATACCAAGTCCAGTTTTAGCAGTCAGACACTAATACTTGACATCAAAATTTACTTTTAAATTTCAAAAATATTTGTTTTAGGGAATCATCAAAATATATGTTACGAAATACAACAATATAAGCAACTAAATTTGTGTGAGCGTTTTTGTTTGTTTATGTTTTGTTTTCCTTACACAAAACAAAGCTGAACAAACTCAAAGTAATGGGAGTTTTATCAGAGTAAGAAATATTAAATATCTGCTTGTTTTATTGACGGTCTTGAGGATTGAATCTCCATCATGAAAGACTCAATCATACAGAATCTGTTGATTTCGTTTCATTGCTTCCTTGAAATCTGTCCGTTTCCAAATATTTTGTTTTTAATTGCATGTTTTAGTACAACGTTGCTCGATTGATGAAAAGGGAATTTAATTGCAATAAGAAATTGTGAAAAGTATCATTTATGAATATTTGTTGACATGTTAATGGCCCTAAAGTAACGGTTGTTTCATGAATAACCTTAATCGCTAGGTAATGATTAATATTGCAAATAATCGTTTATATACGGCCATAAAACATGTCAAGATTCTTCTTCTACAAAATTTATAACAACAGAATCAATATCCGTTGAGAATGTCTGGCTTTTTATAAAGAATATGAAAACCTAAAAATCTAATAGTATGCTTAAATAACACAGGTGACAAACTTCTTGCCGTTTTGATACATGTACATTGAATTTTGATTTATTATAAATATGTTTAAACACTATTTGTTCATGTACCATTTAACGGGGATTAACCAGCTAATGTTTTGTCCTTAAACTGACCATGAAGTAGATGTTGTGCTTATAAACCATGCGGGGTCATCAAAGGGAAATGTGTGTTGCCATTGCTGTGGATTTTCTTTGATGTCATAATGTGTATTCCTATTCATTAACCTTTTTTTATTATCGTTGTATTACAGAAATAAAAAAAATGTTAGTACCAGTTAACGTATTTTTCAATCAAATTTCTTTACCATGTAGATTTTAGGAAATTCTTAAACAAAAGCTATCGTATCATATTTCAAGGATAGTCATATCTTAAGGTTACATTTCCACAAGCGTGCCCTTGCTATATCAAGCAACGAATTACCTTACGTGTATTGGTAATTTTCGGACTGTTGGATGAATTCATTTAACTATGTACAAAATGTCTTCAATGTTAGCATTTGATACAAGAAGAGCAACAGATATGTCAAAGTGAATAGTGATTTCATTCTTAATAAGTACCCGCTGGAAATAAAACTGACAACTTTTTGATAAATTTGAAATCATTTGCAGTTGAGTTTTATTCTCGTACCAGAAAAAAATAGAAATTTCTATCAGATCTCAAAATATTAACTGCCATGAAGTGTTTTGATAATAAAGACATTCACAATCTAGCAATCAGAATAATTGTATTTCATAATTTTGTCATAGTGCCTTGGATGTACTTCAAATACATTATTTGCAAGGTATTTAAAGAAATTTGAAAACCGGTGCTTTATTATTTATTATCTTACCTAACAGACATACAGGCTTATAAATGACATAACAAAAAATACGGGTAATTTTATCACTTACTTATACATCAAATTATCAGAGTCAGACACCCGCTGATTTTCATTTCTATAAATAAGCAATTTATAATTTTAATGACAACAAACACGTTTTGCAACATCAATAAGAGGGCGAATGATTGCTAATACAGCGATATCGTTTACAATACTACAGACATGATACTTATTTCACATCATTTAATATTTTACAAAATAATCCGATTAGGACGATTAAAAACGCTTCCCCGATTTTAAACAAATTAATTTACATAGATAAATGCCAACAAGTTTTCGTTTTAGCACATTTATTGACAAATAAAGATGAAATATCAAATTGAATCTAGTAACCATGTTTCCTGATACCAGAAAATTTTCCAGTTACACGATTGAGGTGCTATTTACTGTGCAAAGAAACAACAATAACAAGGGAATTTTATGTCAAGTTAACGTTTTTGTCTGCAGAGTAATCAAGTGATTTTCATACTACTGTTCTTTCAAAAGTGCTTGGGAACAGCCATCTTTTTAGGAATTATTTAGCTTTTTTAACACTTAATGAAAGATGCACAGATATTAGTGCGTGAGTTAAATGACAATGCGCCAGTTTTAGAAACATATATATAATCTCAATCGTGGAATGATTTGTGACATGCATATTTATTTCAAATTAGTCTAATCGACATAATTTATATATGACTTAACTGCGTGTAAAAGTCCAGCCTTTGTATACATATTTGTGTTTTATAAACCTTTATTTTCTTTCAGGTCTTATTCAACTTTCCTTGGACATCCAGTCAGTGCTAGAGAAACGATACTTGATATATACCAAGATTTAGGTAAGTAGCATTTGTATTAACATGCTTTGAAAAAATCGAAGAACAATTCAAGGAAATACAAAAATAAACATGACTTAAAATTTATTTGAAGTATAAAACTAAGGAGAAAACTAGGCAATAAAGGCATTTAGGCAACATTAAAACAACACAGTATAACTTAATTAAAATCTGCATGGTATCAGGCACATTTACTAAAATGGGGTCTCCACGCTCGTTTTTGTCTAATACATCACTGAATTTGATTTCTGTACAAATAAATAAGTGTATTTTGGTAAAGATTATATAAGTTTCATATGTTGAAAAAAATAATAGTTCTTACATAAAACGCACATGTAATTTACGATCTGTTTTTTGTTGAACGAAATGTGTTTCTCGTGTACACATGCATGAATGGCGAATAATAAAAGTTATTTTAACTGTCTGTTTCCTTTGTACGCTAGCTATTATGCAAACACTGCAATAATGAGAGGTTGCGTATTCTACAAAGCTCTGCTCCTCCTCTTAACATTTATAACAAAAGCTGTATAATACAACTTGTCCAATATTTGATTACGTACTTCAACCCGATTTATGCAATAATGCGGTAACATATCTATTGCAGTGGACTAAGCAATTATACTAGTATGTGTATTAAATTCGGAATTATTATAAAAGTAATTTTAATGTGTATAGTCATTTATTTAACTGTTACGAGGTGCCCTCATTCTTTGATATACTGTTGAAGTACGAAGTCCGCAAAAGTAACATCAACTCATATTATGTAGCTAACTTGCCAAGACAGATCAATGTTAATGAGGTACATGATTTAATTTTAGCAATGTAAAAGTGTTTGACTTTGTATTAAAGTTTGATATCTGAACAAGAAATCGTAACTGGATTAGTAATTATGTCTCAACAAAATCAAACAACCAGACAAAACTTGTTGTGTAGGAGTGTGATGTGCGTTTAGTTGATATAGAAGACATGAACTGTATTAGGCCTGGAAACATTCAATACGGTCACAACCACACTATTTTAAATTCTATCCCACATGTTTTCGAACTGAATTTAAATATACAGGACACGTTCTGCAACTGTTCTCAAATGATTTATCTGATTTGTTTGTTTCTCGTTTTCACATATGATTGTACCAGTATATATTTAGAGCTTTTTAAATTAATTTTTTAAAGTTTATTCAAATGTAGCATGCTTAAATGTAATCTGCTTCAAAAATGATGTGTACAACCAAACAGAATAAATAATGCACACGTCATTTTAGGTAGGTTTTGTAGCAAAGGAACTCCTGGAATTATTCTTTGTAACATATTGTGGACATTACTTCGTGTTAAAGCAACTCTTATTATGTTTAACCTTGTAAGAGATGATTTTAAGTTCTGTGAACAGTATCAAACAAAAATGATCATAATGAAAATGAAAAAAAACAACTTGAACAAGGCGAATGTCTTCGCGTCATGGCAAAATTGATCTCAATTTTTCATGCAAATTAAAATTCAATACATGTTTTGTTTTAATTTGGATGAAATTTGAAAAGATGCAATTTCATTCCATCGCCATGCAATCTTTACAAATCATCGAATTTATTTGACATTTTACAATTCAATTTCGCATTCAATTGGATTTTAAAATAAAGTGTACGAAAATAGCTTCAATAAATCATTTTTCACACCTGTTACATGTACCAAAGAGATATCAATTGGCCAAATAAGTTTTTTGAATTGCAGGCAATGTTTACATAACGTTGAACATATACAACTAAGCTTAACAACATAAAATCATGAATAAATGTATTGGTTTATTGCTTTTTAATTTAAAAGCATTTTGGAGTTGGATTGAGAGAGACGATTTGTCATTAAAAACGAAGAAGTTGCATGTTTTGTTATATCCTGCTGTCACATATATTTTATTATTTCCCATTTTTAGCGAAATATTCTATTAACACGTATAATAGAAAAGAAAGAAACGATTCGCAAAATCTAAACCTAAAATGTTTTACAACCAAATAGAAAACAGATATCTTGTGTCCCAAATGCACTTCAGCTTCACTTACACAATTTAAATGAAATATAAGGCGAATTTTAATTAACCTCGTTCCTGATATTGGGCGATTAAATGTCTTCGTTAATGACTTCAGTGTAAAGAAACAAAATGAACATGGATTATTTGATAGCAAGCTCAAATAATTACTCCTCATGGTACTAAACTTATAATGCTACATCTCTTTATATATTTTTTCTATACCACTGGTTTTTCTCTCTTCTTTTCTTTCTTTCTTTTGTGTGTGTTTTAAGGCGAAAATCTCAACGTTAATTACCTCTGTGTAAGGAAAGAGAATATGTTGTAAAGGTAATTTATCAATCTCAAAAGTAATAAACTAATTTTGTAGCATCTGTATTTCCTTAATATCAACGTTTATATTCGTGTAAGGTGTTGATAGCAGCACTGCTCATTATTGCTGTTGTACCTTACTGTTAATTATATCTTTGTTTAAATGTGAAAACACATCAAAATTGTTGGAAAGGTTTTTTTGACATGACGGGATGGACTGGAAATAATACGATTTTTTTCAATGTATTTCTGAGTATAATTCTTGTTAATCTTTATGACTGAAACCCCAGTTAATCTATGGAAGACTTTAAGTTTAAGGTTCGTAGGCTTTTTGACCTCCTTTTACTCTAGATGTTATTTGTTTTCTCTGTCAGTTAACTTTGTCAGTTTACAATGAAGCTTTAGTTAGTGTCATTTAGAATGTTTCTCAGCTTTAAATGTGATTTCAAGATTTATTAAAATATCTTTATAAATTATTCTGTAGGAGTTTGTCAGTGAAATTATAATTGGAATTGTCTTGTACAACTTTAATTCCTTAATTTCATACATTGTAAATGACATGACTCTGTTTATTCAATTAAGAAGCAATCAAATTCTATTACAATTAACGCTTTTGCTAATGAGGGATTAAAACTGCAATAATTCGATGCAATTATCTCACATTGCTTTATTGCAAGAAATAATTTTTAAATTGATTTATTTGACATGTCCTTAACCCTTTCGCTGCCAGAGTGTTATTGTTCTATTGTTCACTTATTTGCCAGAGGATTTTCTAAGAAATCACTTTATTATTAATTAAAATAATTATTATTTTTTGTTATTAGTATTAAAATAATTATATATGTTTCCAAAATTGTTAGTATAATAATAATTATTGTCGATGGTATAATTTTCTTTATATTTATTATTATTTTTATTATTATTATTATTAATTTATTATTATACTTTTATTATTATAGAAACGGCTAAAGCCGTCCATATGGCAAATACGCCGAAAATAACAAGGACGGCTTAAGCCGTCCCTATGGCAGTGAAGGGGTTAATTTTGGCAAGTTCTGTTACACCCATATGCATGTTTGTTTGTTTGTTTGATAAGTAATGGTTCGTTTAGGTTTGTCTACAATAGGAAATATTGCATATAAGTAGTTCAAAATTTAATCTTTGTTGTCTACTTCACTTATATGAACTGTGTTTCTCTTGTGATATTTTTGCTCATTAAAGTATATTCTTGTTTTTAATTTTGTGTTGCTGAGCCTAAATAATGTTTAATGTTTTTGTTGTTTTTTGTCAGGCATTCAGGCATTTATAATGAAATATAGAATTCATATCTCATATCAATTCAATTTTTTATTTTCTATAATGTAATAAACTATTTATCATAAAATTGTTATGACTTAATTAACATTTCAATAAATCAAAATAGTTAGTTTGTTTTCTTTGTTGCAAACTATTTAGGACAAAAATATTTTAGAGCTGCACCAATCAAACTTAGAATTTGTCTCCTAACTTATGTTTGACTAGGAAAATATAACATTCGGTGTATTAACTAGAATTCTTAGGGGAACACAGAGGAATGTTTCGCAGACAGGCGTATATATATCATCGCACACAACAAGCCAATAATTCAGTTCACATTTAAAGGCACTCTGAGGATGTCGTTACAGGCGCTAATATTAAGACTGATGTATTATTTCCATGTTCAGAGATAAATTGGGTTATATATGCAGTTATTTTGTTCCATGCAGGAAGCCATGAAAATGTTTTGCATATCTTTCGATATAGATGTTTGTATCACAAATAGTATACAAAATGGTAAATTTTATTTTGCATGAATTTAATATTTAATGTGAAATTTTGGTTTGATTATCAGATGATACAGGACATTTGTTTTTTGTTCTTGTTTTTTAGCCTGTGCAACACTAAATAATTGAGTCTAATAAATAAGCACCCAGACATTATGTTGTTTTTTAAGCAAATCTTTATCATCTTACATTTTGTCTGAAACTAACATATCCTGGGGCATTTTTTAATTTATTAACAAGAGATTGTTTAGCACTTTTTGATTAGAATTTACTTCGAATGTTTCCTTTTGTACAAAATATTCATCAGACGGTTTTTTTAATTATGTTTTATATTACTTATAGCGTTCACTATCAATTCTCAGTAGCTTTTGAAAGCTTTAGTTGTTAATGCGAATTTTTTTTCAATCACTTCACAAACTAACAGACAATATCAATAACTAATCTTATATTCTGAACAAAAAGCAATATATGATAATTCTAAGTCACAAAATTTATTTGTGTCATCTCTGGCATTTCGTGCATATCCAGTGATCAATAACCTTGTTCTTCCTTGTTTATAATGTAAATGAATTACATTTTTACATTCTGTGCATGTAACATTATGTCTAACAAATCCTCTGTCAGACACACTTTTTATGTCATTTCCGGTATGTCTGTGGGAATGCTGTACGATATTTCTGGAATAAGAATTGTCTAAAGAAGTAAATCAGAATACTAAATGACATATGATATCCCGTTAAGGATTCTTTTCATTCACATATAAATATAGCTAAATTGTTATCAGCTTGCCTTAATCAAAGTTTTACAAATGTTTTGCGCTCAATAAGCTTAATAAATATAAAATACTTATTTCCAAATCGTCAACATGCCAAC